TCTTGTGTGTTCACTTTGCATGTTTTGACTTCCCGAATAACTAGGTTATTCAAACCATCCACATTCAATCATACTTTGGAATTAGGTATTGAGGCAAGACTGTCATGAATGGGTCTGTAGTTTGTCTAGGTGTTTTAGACGTAGCTGCAATGTTCATGAGTACTCTTGGAATAAGATTCGAGTATTGGATTCAACCTATGCTCATATGAATCACTTCATGGATTTTATCACGAGTGATTGTGAGACGATAATATCTTATATTCTTGAAATGGAGACATGTGAGTTGTAGTTGCGAGTCGGTTGCACATTGACATATGTAAACACACCAGTAACTTGGAGTTATAAAACATATTGTTGTGCGTAATTTGATGAGTAAGTATAAGCAAGAATATGGGTCAAAGTTTATCCATTCCTTTTACCCCATGTGGATAAAAGCGATATCTGTGGGCCCCTTGATGATTTAGTGATGACTAACCTAAGTGCTTGGCAAAGCCTGGACTGATTTGATTTGTTCAATTAGTCGGTCGTCATAAATTGGAAATCGTGAAACAACAGATGGATAGAGAGAATGATTATAATCCATGTCTAAGTCCATATGATATCTAGAATGGAGGAATATATGATCCCTTATCTAATGGACGCGTCATTGACTAGGTCAGAGTTCGACAGTGGCTTTTAAGAGCTACGATTGCTAGTCGGGATTTTGGAGTTGTACTTGCAATAATAGTTATTAGACTTATCCAAGTGGGACACTATTGGATTATGTCACACCCCAAAACCATGAATGGCGGAAACGTTTTGGGGCGAAGGACGTCATGTACAGTATCACAACACAGTATAACAGTAAATAAGTAAACAACATCATCCATTGAATTAAATATATAATTTTCATAAAAGCGTGTTCTGTACAGTTATAGACACCAAAAATGTAAATCAAAATAATAAGATGAGTCTTGAATGCACTCCATCTTCTCAAAAGTTGGCCTCGGTACCTGTCTACTGATGACCTGAGAATACAAGTTATTTTGAAAGAGTTTATCAGCATTAAGCTGGTGAGTTCATAAGTATTTTAGTGTCGGTGGTTGTATCAAAATGTTTGAACGTAGTTATAAGTATGAATTTGTAAACGTTTGTAAATGTTTGTAAATGTTTGAATCTCCTAGAAAAAACTATATTTTTTCTATTTAAAAGTAGTCTTCTACCAAGGCGTAACTGTTTTGTATGTTCGTTTACTGTAAAAGTGTGTAATTTACTCAAGTGTAACTATCATTCTCAAAATATAGTTTGTACATTAATGTTTAAGTGAAAAGATCACTAAATATGTAACGGGTAAATTAATGTAGTACTGTAGTGTTGTATTATAGGAACTACTGTTGTACTAACTACCTCAAACCAGATTTATATTAAGGTATCATGTGATTATTTGTACCATACTATCGACTGGATAAACAACGACAAATGTAGGTTGTAAAATGATATGACGTTTGGCACCCGCAGACTTGCAGGTCCGGCTGTAGCTAGTAGCAAGGTGTAGGATAGTCAATCCAGTATAGATCTATACACAAACTCACGCTCTCCCTCCAAGAGACTCTGGCAATAACTCGGGCCATGACATTTAAGGCATGCTCCGATAAAGTGGATCACAATTCTGTAAATGTATATATGTATATGTAATGTATTGTTACTCGTTCTAGTATCGTTGTATATGTTCTCATACTATAGTTGTATATGTTCTCCTTCTAGTATAGTTGTATATGTTCTCCTTCTAGTATAGTTGTATATGTTCTCCTTCTAGTATAGTTGTATATGTACTCATAGTATAGTTGTATATGTTCTCATAGTAATAAGTATTGACTCGTAAATGAACTGACTCATTGATCTAACAATAGTATGTGTATGATCTTGTGTTACCCCGATGGAAACTTACAAATGATGTAATTAGTATGTATCAACATGGAAGAACTTTTATGACCATATATGTACACATGATATGTAATTAATATTGAAACGACATTCGGACGGCTACCCGATATCCCACCGGACCATATCCAAATCAAGGAAAAGGAAATAGGGCGTGCGGCTTTCCTAAGCCTTTTAAACATTGATTATATAACTATACATGTACGGGCATGCAATTTATAATAAGCATAACAAAGTTTAAGTAAAAGTGTTTGATAATTAAAATAGTTTGTAAAACAGTTGGAAGTAAAACAGCTTTGATAAACAATTTGAATAGTAGTAAAATCATTGGTTTTGTAGTTATTAATCACATGCGATTGATGTAATAACTATAAGTATTCAACTTGTATTCCCCCCCCCCCCATAAAAGCATTTAAAACATTTAAAAATATTTCAAAGGTTAATTAAAGGGGTATGAACTCACTTGTGGTGAGTGGATTGGATTGAAGTGTCGGTTACGTAGCTAGGTGACAAATGGAGATTTGTACACACGCACGAGCCTAGTTATCATATAATGAATATATAAATAACTAATTAGCCTCATTATAACTAATAAAATGAGTAGGGACACTTTAGAACATGAAAACACTTTGTTTCAAGTGTTAAAGATTACAAGGATTGCATTCAAGTGCTAGTAGGGCAAAACTAGGGTGTTTTGGGTCCACGGGTGAACTCCTTGGGAGTTTACGGTCTAAATGACCTTTACCCTAGAAGTTTACGGTCTAAATGACCTTTACCCTAGGAGTTTACGGCAGTAAAATCAAGGGTTTACGGTCTAAACTCCATTTCTTGCAACCATGAGTTGTTTGGAGGTTTAATATGTCCTTTGAAGCAATCTTGCTAAGTGGTTTAGCCTTTGGAATGGACTAGGGCCACAAAACACCCTCCTTGAGGTGTTTATGGCCTAAGGGTATTTTCCCTTGGGTTTACTACCTTAAACCCTTATGGGAAAGGATATTGCCTTTATTTCAAGTCCTTATCACAACTAGGTAAATGTCTAAGTTAGTTTTTAGGGCTAAGAAAGGAAAATGGCTCATTTAAACACCTTATTAGGTGTTTACGGTTTTTGAATGTCCTTAGACCGTAAACACCTATAAATGGTGATGTTTGGTGTTTTTCAAAGCTTAAACATATCAATGGAAGGTTTAAATATGTTAAGGTAAGTCTTAAACTCCAAACTAGGGCTAAACATGGGACTTAGGTCAATTTTGGGGAACTTTATGGTGTTTACGGCCCAAGCATCATCTTGGACCCTGAGCACCTCAAACATGGTGTTCTTGACCGATTTTCTTGGTGATTAATTTATATACTAGCTTACAAGTACTCAAGGATGGAAGCACTTACTAGTAGAAGGCTTGATTTGAGCTAAAAAGCCAAGAACACTTAGTGTGTGTTCTTGGTGTTTTGGAAAATCTATACAAAATACATAAATGAATGGATGAATAGATGCACAAACACTACATTAAGTGTTTTACTAACTTGAAATGGTTAGAACACTTACAAGATCGAAGATTTGGAATTAAATGTTGGATGATAGTTGAGAGAGTTTTTGGAGTTTACTCTTTTGACTATTTGGGGAGTAAACACAATGACTAGTTTATTGGGGAGTAAACTCATACATAGGCATGAGTTTACGGTTTTTGGGTGATTCCTAAACCCAAAACATAAAAGTTTAGTCGGGTGATTCTAATACGCGAAGTGTTTGCGGTTTTCAAAATAAAAACCCGAGACGACACTTTCTTTCACCCGTTCGTTTAAAAATAATATTAAAATAATCAAACGAACTTTATATTTCTTAAAAATAAGAAACAATGATATTAATTTATGATACGAAGTGGTTGACTTTTAGTGTTTGACCAAAAGAAATTTTTGGGTTGTCACAGATTAGGTGTCTAAACCTATAACTATAATTGGTATGTACTTGATCCGAGAGTAGCATGGTCCATTTCGGTTGCATATCACCACGTCAATTTGATAGGATGGACTTTTGAGAAGAGGTTATTTATGATTTGTTAATATATTATAAGTTCTAATATATTAACATAAAATCTTATTATTTAATTAGTATTGATCAGGAATTAATTTAGTGATCAAAAGAGACTAATTAAATGTAAGGGGATTGATTAATAAATCATTCATTCTTATGGTGTGGGACAATGATCCATGATTCTTTAGTTGGGCTAAACCAATGTTACAACCCATGGATGATCCATGGGGGTTTTAAACCCATGGAGCCTAAGTAATATGGAAGGTCATACACATTAGGGTTTACATGGTGTAACCCTAATCTTGCCACACTATATAAGAAACCCCTTAGCATCCAAAATGCCACACTAGTGATCCTTGGAGTTCCGTGAGTCGATTTTGGTTGCAAGAATATTTCTCAAAAGTCATCCTTTGTCCAAAAGGTGTGTTGTGATTCCATTTGAGGTACAACACTTGGGGCACTAAGCTTTTAAGGCCAAACACAACAATTTTTACAAGCCACAACCAAGAGGTAACTCTTTAACTCGATTTTATGTTGTTTATATCATTTTGTATGATAGTTGTAGGCTTAATGCTTTGGAAACAATATTGCATGTATAATTAGAGAAAACATAGATCCAAAGCATTTAGGGTTGTATGTGTACCATAGGATGTTGTAGTATACCAAAACCCTTCAGTTCATGGAAAAGTTTCCGAGCTCATTCGATTCCAATACAACGAAGGCTAATGAAGTTATTTCTAGCCTTGGCTCCACACTTAAAACGGAGAAAGTGAAACTCCAAGAGGTTCGCACTGGCCTCCAAGCAGAAAATGTCGAGTTCAACTCCTCTATTTCATTGAAGATCATGAAACTTCAAGATGACTTTGCAACTGAGAGTAAGATAATGGATGCTCTCGCTGTAAACACTGAAAATGTGAAAGTCTTAACAGTCAAGTTAGAGAATGTTGATAAAAGAATCAATGATCTGTTGTCCAAAAAGGCCGTAGCAAAAACTTGTATAGCAGATGTGAATGCATTGCTTTAAGACATCATTGAGACTCATGACTCGATGATCATGATAACAGTCAAGAAACATCTCTTCGAAAAGCTCAGGCCAGTATTCGTAATGCTTCACAAACTGGAAGGTGTTCTAGAATCAAGCTCAATTCTAAAACAAGAGGGAGAAGGAGTGAAACAATCCAAGAAGGAAAACTCCAAACCTTCAGTCAAGCCCACTGTCAGGCCTAAGAGCAAAAATGAACCAAAAGGCAAAGAGAATTTGATCAACAAAGAACCAATAATTGATAACAGTGAAGATGAAGAGCCCGACGAACATGAGATGAAAAGAAGAAAAGACCGTGAAGCTCAAATGGATGAGCACCAAAGAATTGTTCGCGAGGCTGAAGAGAAAGAAAAATCCAAACGTGAAGCTCAGGTCACGCTGGAAAGCCAAAAGCTTTTGTTTCCAATATGTTCTTTGAAGCGAATTCTTAGTGAGGTTGTGGATATGCCGATCCTTTACTGGTTGGAACCAGTTGCATCTTTTGACCTTCAAAATACATAAGATTCATAGCTGGATCTTCCGATCACACCGAAAGCCTTCAAATTTCACAGTTTTGCAAAAGTTACGAATGTCACAGCAATACACAGCGGTGCAGATCACTTCCTTTTCTCGTTATACCTAAAGCACATGAAGCCGTAGTATGAAACATGGAGTGCGAGCAAAATTGCGGCTGTGAAGGTCACCGGTCCAATCGAAACCTAAATGTGAAGTTTAAGGTTGCTAGAGGTTCGTCGAGTCAGGTCTACGAATTCACTCTCGCTGATCTCCATGTCTAAACCCATATGAATGGATCGTGTTGTACAACATGTTGCTAAGGGATGAATAGAAGTATGAGCTGTGACAAGCCCATTTTCACGGCCAGAGAAGACCGATTTTGTTTATGCTTTATAAAAATCAGAGTATCTCTTTCAATAAAAACGTTGCAGAATTTGTTCCTAGAAAAACATGATAATTTCATTATCAAAGCATTTCCGAAGAAATGTATTTTTATTCCTTTTAAAACATTTGGGATGTCATCGTCAATACAGAAACATAAGCATAAACATAACTTACATTCATTTACACCAGTGATCTATATCTCCTTAATCTCTCAGTGTAATGTTACTTCACATCGTCACCTATGATACAAGTAAATTGAGTGGGTTAGGTTGGGAAATCTAGTGAGTACATAAGGTTTTCAACCCACAATAATATAATTATTATGTTTAATCATCAAACACTTAACCCAATTACCCATCCCCATTATCTTCTTTATTCCTAAGTACCTTCCCTAAGGATTTATCCTAAGGGTCGTCTCCTACATCATATTTACCTCTCATCTCCTTACATCGCATTTCCTTATATGTTTGTTCTTAAGGACTCTCCCTATGGATCATTGCCTACACCACATAGACATTATTGATTCAGGGATTACTCCCTCAATACGTGCCTAACAAGGGTTAGGGTATCATCGCATGAATACGTAGTTACAACATCGCTTGAACTCGTAATTCATAGTAAGGGGTTAGAGTATCATCGCATGAATACGTAGTTACAACATCGCCTGAACTCGTAATTCATCACCTATAGGTTATGAGCATGCTGGTGTTTCCACGGGGTTGTCTATAATAGTACGTGGTCGCCATCTATACTCTGGTAGATGACTACATCTCCAAATTGCCGGACAAGGTTATAGTATCTTTCATCCTACATCACGGATTCATCATCACCTATCTATCCTCACCTAATTATCATCACCTATCTCTCATCATTTTATTTCATCACACATCAACTATTTCATCTACCCTTGTTTTATCCCAACATATTTGTAGATATAAAATAAATATATAGTTTAAATCATTTAAAACATGTATAAAATCATACATCCAGCATAGACAGCAAGTATCCAGATAATATGCACACATGGCACATAATTTATATAAAATACTCCATATCTATGTGTAAGATGAAAGTAACTATGCACTCACTTGATAAGGTGGTGACTTGGTACTCGGACAGTGCTTCGTTTCTTAAAAATAATTTCCTTCAACGAAACCTAGTATTATTACCACTAGAGTTTAGTCTATTATTCTTCGAGACTAATTAATAGTCTAGCTATTATTACTATTATATAAGCGTTATACAATACTTATATAACCCATAATAATAGTCCAATTACTTATTATAAGTTCCTAATAACGTTACTATAATTAAATAAAAGCTATATTAAAAATAGTGTAGACGTAGCTCACTTACAGTGGGTTTTATAGAAAACTGGGCTTTGCTTGGAGCAACATTCCCGTGCCAAAAAGCTCTTCTTATCTGAGCCGTCGAGCACTCCGGGGCTTCCGCCTCGTGCTAGGGAGGTTCCCTAGGCTTTTCGGGGGGTTTCGGGGCTAGAGAGAGGTTCTAGAGAGAGAGAGAGAGAGAGTAAAGAGAAGAAAGAATGGGAAATGTGTGAAGAAAATGAGAGTGGGAGAGGTTCTATTTATAGGGTGAAAATGGTTGAACTTGGTGCCACATGTCACCATCTAGTGGCAAGACTTAGGGAGAAAGCAATGGCCAAGATTGTGCCACATCACCCATTTTCGCACAACACACTTCCGACTTCTAAAATCCGTAACTTTCACATACGAGCTTCGTTTTTGATGTTCTTTTTATCCATGAGTAGGTAAAAATAATATCTACAACTTTCATTTTGACTCTGTCGGCTAGTTCTCATCCGATCTTAAATAAAACAGTACGAGGAGATTATACTGTTAAATGTATGTGTAAAATTCATAACGTCTACATACGGACTCTGTTTTCGTATGTATTTTTACCGTTGAGTTCCTATTAATGAGATCTTCAATTCTCATTTAGGTCGCGTAGGCAAAAACCGCTCGATCTAAAATTCGCGTTTCGGGTTGTGCACTACTATGCCAAATGTTAGAAAATTCATAACTCTTCATACGAAGTCAGATTTGGGCATTCTTCTTATGGATGCTCTCAGTTTAACATATTCTAAGACTTTTCTTTAGATTACTAAGGCTAAAAAGACCACCATCGTAAATTCACTATTTACGTCTCCCGGTGTCGTGCCGGTTTTGCCCTAAAACTTCGACGAGCCATAACTTCTTCGTTATAACTCGGATTTCGGCGTTCTTTATATGTACGGAACCCTTGAGACGTATTATACAACTTGGTTAAGATTATTTATTATAAATAATATTTTTTCCAAAAGTCATTTTCAACCCCTATTATCTCTAAATTGACTAGCCCGGATCCGTGGGCGTTAAATGAGCCCTTTGTTGCTCACCTCAAGCAAATGTTAATCTCATACATTCAAGAGGTTGGAAAGATGGATGTCGAGATTGTTGTTGTGCTGCGAAGGAAGCCAAGTGTACTCCCCAAAGAAGCCCCATAAGGTTTTAATAAAATGAAACCTGGGAAGATACAAAAGGAAGGGTGGTGTGTGGCTTTTCAGATGAAAGAGCGAACTGATGCAGACTTTCATAAGGCATGCTTCTTTCTTACTGATAAGCATTTTTTTCTCCACTTCGTGCCTATAATATCTCTTAGACTTCGTCAACAAGTACAAAGGGAACAACAAAAGCGACAAGAAGTGCTTTTCGGATATGATTCAATGGTATATCCATGTTCGCAAAGTTCTGCTAAGCCTTATTCCGAAAGTATTTAAAGTGCAGAAGCAAACTCAACAATGAAGGACTCTCGCCTCAATCGACGCAAAAGGGGAGATTGTTGGGTATTTAGTGTTGCGTCTTTTAGGCTTATTATTTAGTCTATTTTGTGTAACCGAGTTGGGCCTGTCCACTCGTGAGTTATTAATTAGGGTTTTACTATTTAAGATGCATGCATGCATCGTGTATTTGTTAATGGTGTATTTCTTAATCGTGTCATTGTAAACCCTACATAGCCTCTACAATAGCAATTCTTTATCGAGCTCTTTTGAGGCTATGACTTTTAATCATTCGACACATTCTTGATTCATATTCTTTGTTTTAATGTTTTTACCTGTTTGAATCTATTCGATCTTTAGACTTTTCAACTCAACAATAAAGTTAAAAAATTTATATTATAAATAATTTTGAAATTAAACTTTTAATTAATCAAATAATTAGATTTAAATAAATTATGAGGATAATTCAAAGACTTTAGATTTTAGGAATCGGATTACCAATTAAATATTCAGATTTTATCCAATTATAAACAATATCTTTAAATTTAATTATCCTAATCCAGATCTAGATTATCTCAAAATAATCACTAAACAGGAGGTCCACCACGACGTGACAGATAAGATCTATGTCGTGGCAGAGGAAAGTTACGTGGATCAGACAGTTGACCACGACGTGGCAGAAAAGTACCATGTCGTGGCCACAAAACAGAATGATGGTTCTGTTTCCATCAATTGTTCAAGTTTAATTTATGCACATTAAATTGTTAGACAATCTACGCTCTGATACCACTGATGGATTTTATGAGTAATTATGCAGAAAATACTTTAAACTCTTAAGGGTACATGCAACCTAATTTTATTACGTCATAACTCTATTGAAGCAACATACCATTGAACAACAAAAATCTAATCCTAGTGTAAATCGAAATTTACAAAGTAAATTGACATATCTCTGATTTGTTAAAGTAAGGAAACCCTTTTTATTAATCCAATGGTATCTTGAAAACTAGCTTCAATTGTGTGCAAGCCTCTAATGGTTCATACCCGCAACACAAGATCCCTAGAAGATTTAGAAGGGAGGGGAGAGGTATCAAATTTTTGGCTTTGGCTTGTCTAAATGCATTGACCGAAAATTCCAAGTCCAAGGCCCCATTTATAGCTGATTAGGAAATACCTAGAAACCTTGGTTTGAACATAAAATAATATTATTCCAAATAAGGTAATTATCTAGTTCCAAGTTTATCCTCATGAAGGCTTCCAGAAGGCTCCTAAAGAGCCTCAAAACCGTCCCTAGTAGGAGGGTTCTAGAACCTATCCTCTGCTCAACTTTTGAACAATTACAACTATAGTCTTTCAACTTTTAATTAATTCTAATTAACCTAAAATTGATTCCAAATTAATCATGATTAACTCTAAATTAATTATAACTATTTCTAATTGATATATTAGTCACATAATATATTAACAAATTATATATCTCTCTCTAAAATCAATCTAAGTAATTTCTTGGTTATGAGGGCAATCCAAAAAAGAGTTTACTCTTATTCATCAATATTATACCAATTTAGTTAGAACCTTAGACACTTTAATCAAACAGGTAGATCAAAAGTGCTAAGATCCTATGGTTAATAGAATTAGCTTTAAGACTTGCACGAGGCTTTCATTATCGTTAGAAGAAATGATATCCTCCTTCCTCCCACTCTCTCATTCATCTCTTATAAATATGGTAGAGTTTTTGGTTACATGCATTTGCTCTCTTGAAGATAGAACTTGGTTTTTATTTTCAAGCTTAAGAGTTCTTCACAAGACTAGTATCTTACATCATGTTGCATTCTTGTTGGTG